ACCAAGAAATTATTCCGGTGATGTTGTGAAATTACGCTTTTAATACAAAAATTAGCCCGGTTATTTGGAGTTAAGTTGTCTTTAAACAAATCTCAAAAAAGCCATGGGAAAGCTTTATCAGCAGAGAGTTCACTTTGATAAAAAGACTACACGATCCATTTCTGAATATATTCCCTTTTTGTAGAGAATGAAATACAGCATGATAATGATGTTAGTGAGATTTTGCAGGCATTTGAAGTTCTGGATGCAACCAAGCCGATTCCGGTCTCGTGCAAACAACTTGGGATTGGTGTAACTCATCAGGGACAAATTTTATACATCGATGTCGAATATCCAGAGGAATGTTGGGGCAAGGGCGAGTTTGATGCACGTGATGCGATCCAGAGTGTTTTCGATTGCTCATACATGAAAACAGATCGTGTTGTTTAACTGGTTGCATGGAATTCGTAAAAATTAATTGTTATTTCATTTGTGTCCACTATATTTGAATGAAATTTAATTATTTACTCGCATGCAAGGTCCTGTGGTAGAGCTGAAGTGGACGAAGAGAAAATGAAATAATTGGCCAACGCACGGGCTGCGCGTTTTTTGCAGAATTCCCAGCAGTTTTTGCCGTTACCGGCATCGGTTTTTTCGGCAGATGCTTCTAGCTGAAAGAATTTCAAACTGGCCGCCAGAACTGTCTGGAAACATCCCCTCAAAATTCCAGTTTTCTAGCTTCTTACGTTCTCGAGTAAGTAACTTACCCGGGGGGAAATTTCCACGGGCCTGTACGTAGGTACCACGCTTACCCGCGGGCAGGGTTTGAACTCGTTAATACCCACTTAGACAGGGAACGCCTCCCTAAGATTTCAGCTCTCTAGCTTCTCAGAACCCCGAGTTATGAATTTACGCGGGAAAAATTTTGACTAAATTTCAGCTTTCTAGCATCTCAGGACCCCGAGTTATGAATTTACGCGGGAAAAATTTTGGGGGGTAAAGTTTCAGCTTTCTAGCATCTCAGAACCCCGAGTTATGAATTTACGCGGGAAAAATTTTGGGGGGCTCGTAAGCGGGTACGCTTACCCGGGGGCTGGATTTGAGCCCACTAACAGCCGCTTGGGCGGGGAACATTATCCCAAGACTTCAGCCTTCTAGCTTCTCAGATCCCCGAGTTATAAACTTACCCGAAAAAAATTTTGGTGGGCTCGTGCGGGGCTGGGTTC